TTTAAATTTACAATCTTTATAAAAATGTTCGGTTGAATAACAAGCATCACAGTAAGTTTCAATATTTTTAAACGGATCGAAATAGTAATCGTGAATTATTTTTTTAGGTGGTGGTCCCCAATTATTACTGTAAATTATTATAATTTTTAGAAAAAAAATGTTAGATAAAAAAAAAAAGAAAAGAAAAATTACCTCATATTAAAAGATAACGATTGTTTTTAAAGAACAAAAAAATAAAATATTTATAGTTGTTAAATATGTGATTATATAATCTTGATAGATATAAAAAAAAATATTATTGGTTTAATATTTAATAAAAAAAAAGAAAAATGGAATTTATTTTTTATATTTTTTTATTGTTTTTAACTTTAAATGTTAATTCAAAAGAAACATATAAATGTAAATATAATCAGAATCCTTATGAAGATTGTTGTTACAGAGAACCTGATAAAATAAAAGAAAATAAATTTTCAGATTTGGAGTTATATCAAATAATGTTGTTTGGTGTAATGTCTTCTATAGCAGATAAATTTCCTGATTTATCAAAACATAAAATTCCAAAAATACCTGTTGATGAAGAATTTGAAGATGCTCGAGATGTTCCAGATATTGAAAAAATGGAAGTTGAATTTCCAGAATTAAATGTTGTTGAAGAGATGGTAGATGTTATTAGTGGAATAATTCAACCTATAAATTTTGATTTAGCAAGAGAAAGACAACGTGAAAATTACAATGAGTGGACAAGAATATTAAATAGTATGAAGATGAAATGAATATTAATAACCTTGAAGATGGAAATAATTGGGATCAAGTGATACAATATTTTGATTGGAGTATATTACCAAATAATTATCAACAGATGACACAATTATATCATATGACATTGTATTATAAAAAAATATTAGAAAGAGTTCCCACGAATCCACAAATAACTTACAAATATACTTAAACTATATTAATAATCAATAACATTAAACCAAATACAGAAGAAGATATAATAGTAAGAAGATTAAATCATGTTAAATAGATGTTTCAACAAATATATGCTGGTTTTGCTGCGACTAAAATAGTTGATGATGCAAAAAAATTATATGATAGATGGAATATTTACATTTCAGCTAATATAAATGATGATAATTATTTTCAGTATAAAAGTAAAACAGAAGAATATTTAGCAATGATATTTGCAGAATGTATTAAAATTAATGTAGTGTCGGGAACAGATTTACTACCTGGTATTCTAAATGCGATTGCTAGAGCTCGTAGAAAATGAGAAGAAGATAGTGATGATGATTCTGGAAGAAGTAAAGCTAAAGGAAGAATTTCATAAATAGTATAAATAGTCTTATTATTCATTTTCTTTTTTTTTTAATGGAAGCTTCTTTTTTATAAAAGATTACATTTTTATTAGTTAGCATTTTTTTATTTTTATCAATAGTAATTGAAATATCAATTATACATTCTATATATCAACCAAATTATAATTTATTTTTCGATTCTATCATTACATTGGTTCGTCAAATTTTAAAGGAAATAATAAAAACAATCGAAAACATTTAATCAAACTGGCAAGAAGAAAGAAATCTAAAAAATTTTCTAAATCAAAAGAGAAAAAAATATCAACAAATAAAACAAAATCGAACCAAAAAGAAAAGGTTCAAACAAAAAAATCATCTAAAAAAACAATATCTAAAGTTATATCAAAAACAAATTGTATTGGTCGTGGACGTAAATATCAGATAATATGACAACAAAAAAAAGAAAAATATATTCGGTAGGAATATGTGGAAATATTGCTGATTACAATGTTTGTAGAATATCTAGACCATCCGGTTCTTTAATTGATAAAGTCGATTTTGATGATGGATTTATTGCTCTTGATAAAAGATTCTATATATATCATTTATTACAACAAGAAAAAACATTTAAATCTTTAAATCTATTAGATTTTTCTTTATATTTAAAACTTGTTTCTTATCATCCACCTACTTTAGAATCAACTTATCGACTTTCAAATGAAACAAATCTAACAAAATTAATGTCACCCTTTAAGATTGATCTTTATCTTGTTAGAGTATGTGATCTTGAAACAGCAAAAAAAAATAATTTAACAAAAGAAGATGTTTTGAAACAACCTAGAGATATAAAAAATCATCAGTTGAAAGATAATTATAATATATTATTACAATATAGTGTACAAATTAATTGTTTAACAGAATGTGTTTTTAACGAACATGAAATAGTAATGTGTAGAAAATTTTTAAAAGAAGAACAGAAAACATGTGAAATATCTAATAATACAGGTAAAAATATAGTTTATGATACTGCTAATTATAGATTGATAATTGTGATTAATTATTCAGATTGGATGTATCAAGGACATTTTAGAGATACTAATATGGATATAAATGATAAAATTAAGTTGAAAGATACATTTGGTGAATATGATTCTGGTTATCCAGTTTTTATTTCAGGTAGAAATATTGATATAGCATATCATCCAGATTTGACACAAGTTAATAGTATTCAAGCATTTTCTCAAATGGTTGCAAATCAAATACTAGATGAAATAAATCCTGTTAAGGCTGAAGATGGGAAGAGGAACTTTAATTTTTTAATATAATATTTTATTTTATTTTTTATTAATTTTATAATAAATATAAATACAAATATTTTTCTTTTTTTTTACAAATAAAAAACAAAATGATTAAATTACAAAATTGCAAATATGTTTATAATTTCAAAGATTATATTAATTGTTGTATTAAAAAATATAAAGAACAAAATATTATAAAAATCAAAGAAGAAAAAATAAACAAATATTTAATGCTTACAATAATTAAAAAAGCAAGATCATCTGTTCCAATTTCAATTCTACAAAAACTAATTTTAATTTCTCAACCATTTGTTCCAATTTTAATTCCACCAAATATTATACCAGAAGATGATATAAATGATAAAAATATATTTAATAGTATAAAAGAAGAAATAACAGATTCAATTAAAACAAATGATGATATAAAAGATCTTATAGATAATTCAATTTTAAAACAAGATGATAAAAATAAATTACATAATCTTAGAAAACAGAAGTTATATGAAAAAATATTTAATGAAATTGAAAAAGAAGAAAAAATTTTTGATTTAATTGAAAATAATAAATTTGATAAGTTGATACAAGATTCAGATTTAATAAACCAACAAAAAAAAATTTTACAGAACAATCGAAATAGACGATTAAATTTATTACAAGTAAATCCTTTTGAATATTACAAAAAAGCTATTCAACAAACTATTACAATATCTATTTTACAAGGATTACATAATGAGATATCAGAATCAAACATATCAGCTAATAACAAATTGATATTATATGGTTTAATAAAAGAAAAAATTGATAATTTTAGACAAGAAGAAGAATTTAAAAATATTAAAAAAAAGATTAAAAAAGAAAATTCGATTATCAATTTAGAAGTAGATATCAAAGAAGAAATAGATTTTAAAATAAAATATATTAATCAAAAAAAGAAAACTGAATTACATTTAATATAGGATCAAAAAATTAAATCATTAAAAAGTACTATAGATTTTTTATGTATTAAAGAACAAATTGAAAATGAATCATTATTATCAAATTTGCTAGATAAAAAATTTTTTGCTGAATTAATTCAAACAAACAGTTTTTTGGTTGAAAATCAAAGACAATTATTACAAATAGTAAGAAAAAATAGATTACAATTGTTAGTAAATAATTATTATAATACATTAAAGAAAGAAATAGAAATATCAAAAGATTTAGAACAATTAAATGATGGTAGATATTTTGATAAAAGAATTGGTAAAATTAGAGAAGAATATTTGGATTCTAATAATTCAAAAGAAAAATTACATATTTTACAAAGATCAAGAATTGATCAATTATTAGGAAGTGAAGAAGATCAAAGATATGATCTTATAAGAGATATTATTAATAATACAGAAAATATCGAAGAAATATTAGATTCATTAGAAATATTTACAGATATTAAAATATTAAATCAAACTTTATTAACAAGAAATCGTGATAAATTAGAATTAGAAAGAGAATGAAAATTATACTACAATAATGAGCTATATGATATTATTAGTTCAGCTATCAAAATAGAAGAAGATATTGATAAATTATAAAAAAAATAGCAAGAAGTTATTGAAAATAATCTTGATCAAGATTTTTTGACTGGTAGATTAAAAATAAATCTTTAACAAAATCAATTAGATAGAATTAAAGAATTAAAAGAAAAAGAAAATACACCAAAACATCCTTTAGAAGATAATGATATACCAGCAAGAAATTTAGATAAAGCAGAACAAATTCGAGATAATTCAGGATCTTTTGATAAACAAATTAATTTTATTATTACTTAATATAAAAAAACATTATCTAATGTTGATCTATTAAAGTTTTTCACTACAAGAAAAAATAAATCAGTTGTAAAATTTATCAAAGAAGTATATGATAAAAGTAAAGATAAAAATTTATTGTTAGAAGTGCTTTATTTGAATTGGGTTCTTGGTAAAGATGAAAATATTTGTTGAACAAGAAATTTACAAAAAAAAGATAAATGAAGTAAATAATTTAGTAAAAGATATTAATAATTATCTTTATGAAGAACCATATAAAAAAGTGATGATGAATCAAGAACAATTAGAGAAAAATAAAAAATTTAAAAAATTACATAGATATCCTATGCTTTATTTACCAGCTGAATTTTCTTGAGACAATCCTTTACGTGTAGATCAAGAGAAGATTGATATAATTAAAAGTGTTGATTTAGTAATGATTGAATATAAAAA